CCCCCCCCCCCCCCCCCCCCGTGATGTATTTGGATCGCCCTGCACACCTTTCCCCAGCCCAAGGATATATTCGAACGGTTGTCGAAAGATCCGGAGGAAGTGGCCAAGAGGCCGCTCCTGGCGGGAGACGACCCTCAGGGAAAGCTCGAGGAGCTGCTGGAGAAAAGGAAGCCCCAGTATGCGCAGGTACAGGTTAGGCTGTCACGGCGAGCCGCAGTTTACGTGCCACACGCCTCGTAAATGTTTTTAAGGTTTGGTAAACAATTCAATGGCAGTGTCACGAGAGGTAGCGGTAGAGATGGCAGTGCCCTTTGGCGAGACTGGTTGGCGTGCATGGAGGCTTGTGAGCGAACTGGCATACGATAGATGACGTATCCACCTGCATGGTTAGAAGTCTCGTTTTAGTCCCTGCACACGTGAGCGAGTTTTGTTCGACCCGTGGTCTCAATACGAGTCCCCTTTGCTAGGTTCATGGCATTTCTACCCATCCAGAGAGGAAATGTACAGATTGCAATCGTCTGCTATTAATGCCGAGAGAAACATCACGCCCCCACGAAGCTGGTTTACCATGATATCAGCATATTAAGTTTTGTTGTTACAAGGTATCATGTAGACATTTAGCGAGCAATGGGCATGCCCCTCTCCTACTGAAGCGGTCCGTCGACATCGTAGTGTAGCGCATGCATGTTGTGGTGCTCGAAGGGTATGCATGACGATTCCATGGCTGCCCACTTCATCAGTTATATTAAACCAGCAAGATATTGGGGAAAGACCCAGGCTGTTGTCGTACAGCCATATCATCCAGCAAAGCACCTGCCTCAAACACACGCCACCTGTGATCCGCAAAGTCTCAATTGAACCATCCATTCTATGTGATGTAAATGCTCCTCGCCCCCCCCCCCCCCCTATCCTGCTGTTTCACACGCTTGCCGCCCGTTTTGGCAACAGGCCGATGTGACCGTGCAGTTGAAACCAGAAGACGGCGTCGACGATATCACTTACAACGTCGTCAACGCCATCCTCGAGTTCATCGACAGCAACCCTCCCAAATGGCAGAAGTGGAAGGAAAAGGCGAACGCGGCAGGAATCGAATGGGTTTGATCCTGTCCTGTTTTGCTGGTCATCAAAAGCAAATGCTGCGCTGGTCGAGTCGCATCATCCTCTTCATCATCCTCTTTCTTGTTATCAAGTGCCGCTAATCCTATTTCGTGGATGCTACTTTCCGTCATCAGTGCTGGGCAAGTCCGACAGCGGTCATAATCTTCTCGAATACTGCCTGGGGCTGTAAATGGTGAAAATAGTTTGAATGTGCGATGCGGGGTGCACATCAACCTTGGATGATTTTTACTTGGCCTGTGTGGTTGTAGGTGGCATTTGAGTTAATTATTGTACAACGTGGAGGAGTTGGGTTTTGTCGCGCTAGCCATGCGGGCCCAGCAGAGGACATGCTGCAGGCGCAGCGTAATATGATGTCTTAAAAACGGCTCAAAGAATTGAAAACAAGAGGAGGAGGAAAACACACCCTCCGAACACATGGCTTTCGTTCGTCTTCAGTCCGAAAAGGACCCACACCGGGGGACTGCAAGGGCCGGTGGCTGTGATGCGGTCGATGGAATCTCTTCCGCACGAGCTCGACACACGAGACGCCTCCGTTGTTAAGATCACTGGCGTCACCACGCACATGGACGTCAAGCAACCAAGGCGGTAGTGTGCACAGAGGTTGGGTGCCAACACATGTGATAAAGGACGACATACGCTTGAAGCCATGGGCTGTCTGACAGGGTCATATGCATATCATTCGGAACAATTCTATCGCTTGGATGGAACAGAAAAACACCATTTTGTGGGACCAAGACGCCTTCAAGAGTTAACCGCCGAGCAAGCCTTCCGGTGTTTCTTCCAGCCCGCCTTCTGGCATTCCCGGGAGCAGTAACCTACGGCGTGGCACTGCGAACACCGCTTGAATGCCACACTGGCGGCGCCATCTCCGCCCTCATCCTCACTAGCAGCAGGATGAGGGTTGCCGCCACCATGGCCGCACTTTTGCACCCGATCGCACCGAGGCCCCGCACATCTTCTCCCCACCAGCTCGCCCCCCGCGTCCCAGTTGTACGCGTTGCCGCACAGCAGAGCCAGAGCAAGGCGGTCGGCCTTGCCACCCTTCCAGGGACTACTTCCGCTCCCGGTCCCCTCCCGCTCGCACTCGCGCGCAGCCGCCACTGCGCTCGCCCTCAGCTTTTCGGGCATACGTTCCACGATATTTTTTAGCCAGTTGGGACGGGTGTAGAAGTCTGCGAGCAGGTCCGCCGCCTCGTCAGCGATCCACCTGGTGGCCTCTAAAAAGACCGTGAGCCAAGCCTTCCCGAGTCTGAGCTTGTCCTCCTCGGAGACGGAGTCCGCCGCTCCCGCGAGCAACGACGTGGCGATCAGGAAGAAGCACAATGGGAGGTCGCCAGAAACGGGGTTTGAGCGGTCGAACACCGCGTGGTTCTCCAGGCACGAGGCTAGAGCTGAGACGGCTCCCAGTTCCACCCAGAGCTTCGCATAGGGAGGCTCCAGGGGCCTGTTTCAGGCGGTGATAGTTTGAAACCGATGGAGGCGTGTGATTGAATAGCACTGCGAGGTGAAGGTTGGACAAGTTAGGCGCGACAGGCGATTTCGGTTTAAGTGAGTTTCGGCGATGAGTATTCTTGGGGAGCTACGGCAAGTAGTCTCTGGATATCATTGCGTACTACTACAGTACTTCCACGAACAGCAGCTTATCCGATTTCGTTGCTGATTATCATACCGATTTTGATGGCGTTCGTCGAGCGAAACTGAAAACTTCCACACCCCGTACCCGTTAGAAGTGAAGAGTCCGGTAATTGTAGTGACGGCACCGGCCGCCGCGTTGACAATCTCTACCCCGCCTGCGCCCGCTGACGTCGGAGTGACTAGCCGTTGTCGAGGAGACGCCATCACCGCGCAAAGCTCTTTGACCACGTCGGGCCGTGTGAGCAGGTCCTTGCGCCTATCGCTGAGCTCGGCGACGCCGTGTAGGGCGACAAGGCAGGCGTACTGCAGGGCTGGGTGGGGAGGACTCCGACTGAACTTGAAAAGCTCGAGGAGTTCGTCTAGTCGGGGCCCGGCCACGAGCTGCCTGAAGATCGCGAGGAATTGGTCTCGGGGGAGTGCGGAGGAGCGTCCGATTGCGACCCGAACCTCGTTGCAAGCCGCAAACGCTGCGAAGTCTTTGTAGCAGGTAGAACTCTCCTGGTCTCCTTTGTTGCTGCCGGTGTTGTTGTCAACCGGCGGGGGGATGTCGTCTCTGAGCTTGCGCAGCTCTTGCCAGATCTTGCTGCTGCTGGTGGAGTCCGCCGTCATGCTTGGGTCAACCCGGTACTTCTGGCCTCGCCGCCAGTCCTCTGAAGCTAGTTTGTGCGTGTTTCGAGAGAAGATAGGGGCAGCAGTGCAACGAACTTTTGGGGCCTGCGTTCCACAACATGGCATAGCATAAGCGAGCGAACGGGGGGCGAGAGAGGGAGGGGGGGAAAGTGAGTGTACGGTCGGGGAGCGCGGGATGATGTAGTTTACATGTCATGTGTGGCACCTAGACTGTACAAAATAAGTGAATTTGATCTCTTCATTTTATCGATCGACCAACTTTCCACAAAGTTTATGTAGTGTGCTGCTGTTGTCCGCTTGTCCGCCAAACAAATATCTGCAAGTTTGAAACGTAAGCATGTGAACTAGACTACTGCTGTGTCTACTGCTGTAGACCAATCCCTACCAATCCAATTTTGAAATTTGTGATCACAACGAACACACGGAAGTACGCTGTAGTACAAAACCAATCTCGACGAGCACAAGGCAGAGGCCCAGGTATTCCACTTCCAACTGCGATTGCGCTTGATACACACACGGACCAATGCACCTCCTGAGAAGAAGTGGTATACCAAACACCCCCACAGGTGATTGTCAAGTGACGTTGTGAAACGCGGTGGTTTCCTGTGGGTTCCTGCACAACAGGGGCTCCGCATATCGATATTCTAGTACCCACCTTAAAGAATGACCTCTGCGTGCTCCCGTATCCCGCCGCGTCCTCGCCACACACACCAGACACCCCACGCGTTAGCTGTGCTGTGGCTCCGCAAACCCCGAGTCTTCCAGCGTGCACGTATTCACGGACCCCCGCGCTTCCACTGCCGGGTAGCGCCGTGCATCGTTTACTCGAAAGAGGGAAACACTACCCGGGCTGTTGTGGACCCACTGCGCAAGGATTTCAAGATGGTACAACCAACGGACGAGGCGCCGACACGCACCGGTGACCCTGCAGTGGGCGAAGCGATCGAACTTGCGGACCTCGCCGGCGCGCGCATCAAAGACACGGAGGTGAGCGAACACACCTACAACAGCTCCGCCACGGTTTGAGAGTTTTCGGGGCCCACCTCGACTGAAAAAATTATCTTGGTGCCCGGAGTCCACCCAAAATATCGAAATATCGCCTCTGCCCGAGGGACACATGATGATCAAATTTCCCCGCAAGCAACACTGCAGCGGTTGGGCCCGTGGCCAGGTACACGCGAAGGCTACAAGTCTACGAGTGCCTCATGGCATCCCCCCGTTCGAAACGGTTTGGGCCTTTGAATTGGTTGGGAACGTCTCGTCCTGAGACCGAGAGCGAAGCCCACAATATGGACGATGAAATCCATGTGCGGTGGTGTGCGGGCCGAGAGGTCGGGTGCCCTTTCGCCCCACCGCGGATGCCCTTACATCCCTACTACCCACAGGGGAGATATCGTTATATGTTGTCTGGGAAACCGTAGACATACAGGTAGCCTATCGCTCACGCCACGGATTCATGGCTAATTTATCCTAGACTTATTTCTATAGATAGAAATGGATTTGTGGTGTGATATGAAGAAAAAAAAAAATTATCGATATTCTAGCGTTATTGATCACAAGGAAAGTAAAAGCGCGCACCGAAGCATTTGTTTTATTTCACCCACTGATGGCGTGCATCTGTTGATTGCTCAGCCGGTTGGCTGCGAGGTTATTCGAGAGTTGCATGTACTCCGTATGTATGACGACAAACACTAAAGACCACCAAACACAAACAAGCGATCCGCAGGTTGGGGTGTTAAAATACCACTCGGCTGAAAGTGAGTCATCTCAATGGCCACTCCTGTTTTCCGTGGATGTGCTGACGACACTTGAGATGCCCACCTTGTAACTTGTACTCCTACTACTCTCGAGATGTACTTGAAATAGTAGAAGAGCCAACTCCCATACTTTTTTTGTTTTTCATCACTTTGACTCAGGGCTCACACACAGCATTCATTTCTCAGGAAACATAAAAACAAACACAGAAAGACTACCCATTCGAGATATGGCCTCAGTCTTATTTCTGCCGTTACAGGGGCTCCGATCCGTTGTCACGCACAAAGGTTCCTCCCCTTGAGCCCCCATACCACGCTTTCTGCGATGCTCTGCCGAAGGTGGAGGCCCTTTTGTCTACGGAGAACCACCCCCCTTCAACATGATCGCTTCGTCTGGACCATGATTCCTTTCGTTTCGTGGAGACTGCCCAAGTAGTCATCCCCGTCGGTGCCAGCCCAAGGGCTGTTGACGACATTATTGATTTGGTGGAACACGCATTTTACTCCTGTTGCACTATAGTGTCGCAAACGGTGAGCATGGCCGCCCTCGCTGGCTGCCTCCAAACTCACTGGCTTTACTGATTGTATTGTTCTTCAATTGCTGGCTGATACTCACTGACGGTGGGACCACTTGTTGTCTTGGACTTTCGGTCTCGTGATCCTTTTCATGAACGATGTCGGGCACAGGTGGCGGCGCTAGCGGCCGGTGTCATGGCCCCGTCAGACCTCGTAGCCCCGGTGACCAATCGGGAAGCCTCCAAGAACACTGAACAACAAGGACAAGACGGCAGTCCGCAGGAGGGCGCGGCGGCGAAAGTCAAGATCGAGAGCGACGAGGAGAGCTCGGAGGACGAAGAGGAACAACGGACCCCCGCCGGCACGGTGGGCGGGGAGCGGGCACAAGAACAGGCGGAGGGCATGGAGGTAGAAAAGGAAGAGTCGAGCGCCGCTAACAAAGGCAAGAGAAAGGCGGTCATTCTTGAAGCGGAGGAGGAAGAAGGAGGGGGAGCGCAGGGCCGGCCCGAGTCGATGGAGATGGAGCCCGAGGAAGAGGCGGATGACGGGAGCAGTGAGGTTTCTTCCGAAGATAGCGAAGTTGTTGAGGCTCCGAGGAGGAAGTGAGAACACGCCGCCTCATCCTTTTGTGCTTGCAGGAGCGACAGTGTTTTGGTCCGTCAATGCCACTGCCGTATCGTGGCCACCAGCAGAGGTGTTGTGTCACAGTGAAGTGGGGATTTGGGTCTGTTGGAACACAGCACGTTAGTGAAGTTCTCAACGACTTCGATCGCGATTCGATCCTCCTCGGATGTACAGCGGTACGGCATACGCCTGTCTCCGCTCTCGGTGCTTCGCGCCGGATTCCCGGGCTGCCAGAGTACTGCAGCTGTATCGCCCTCTCTTTTCTGGTTGTCTCTCATCTAGTTGGTCCAACCGAGAGGCATTACGTGAGAATTGATCATTTTTCTCCTCGGTCGGTGTTGTTTGCCTTGGGATTTTGGCAGCAGGGGACACATACGCGGAGTGAAACGCAGCATCCCCTTGCTTCGAACCGAGCGCTCCTTTGTCCACCGCGTGAAAAACAAGAGTGATGGATGACCAGTCAAATAGTTCGCACGTCTGGCCTCAAGTCAAGGCTGCCAGATCGAGTGCGAATTCATGGGTTGCTGGTCACGTAGCTGGCCCGTACAAGCGTCTGTGAACCCTTGACCTGTTTCATACGCATGATTTATTCAATCGAACTCCTTTCGGTCTTACACAGTGGAACATTTGTTGTCTTTGGGGTTTTAGCTTTTGCCAACAATCGCTCGCCTTGCTCGTTTGAAGCTTGGTTTCGTGTTTTGGACCTACGATCCCATGTCCAGTTCTCAGCAGGAAACGAATGACTTGACACCCACACCAACCTCCGGCCCATGATCTCGATCAATAACCTCTTCCTCTTCGTCGGACCTTCCCATTCTGGTTTCGTTCTTCCATACCCGGGTTCTCAGCAAGGATCCCCATCTGCCCCTCACGGGTCCCCTGTCGATCCGGCCTATCGGAGACGTATCCGATGGGGAGGATGAAGAGTTCATGGGTTCCGCGTTGCCCATGACAAAGCACGAGGTATGGCGGTGTGTTGTTCGTGGCTCCTTTGGTGCCATCGAAAGGTTTCTTGTGCTGTGTAGGTGACTTGTACCCATATTCCCATGACCTACAATGCATGACCGCAGTTTTTGTTGTCGTGTTGTACGTACGTAACGACAAAGAGTGAGGAGTTTCTGATACTTGCCTATGATCAAGAATGCGATGTGACAGCTTTGGCATTTGTCCGTCTTTCGTCGTTATCTTGTACAACCTGCTGTGGTCTGTTATCGTTCATTCGCACTAGCTAGTTGCGTTCATTTGTGCCCCCGGGTTGCCATCTCGGCGATGTAAATACTCCACCGGGCGCATGTCCCTAAACGCCTTCGTCGATTCTGTTTCTGTCCGCCATTCTCTCCTGTACGTTGTCGCCCAAAACACGCCCCCAATCGTCCGAAAGCACGCATGCTCCACATCGTCACGATCACGATCATCACCACCCAAAATACGCGTCTGCGCGTGATTGCAAACCCGTGTATCAGGAGTTGGAGCCCATTCTACCCCTGGGAGAGGTGTCCTTTGATGGGGCCGAAGTGCAAGAGGTTGGCAAGATCCTATCGCTGGTGGAAGCAGACGGGACGATAGTGGTTCAGGGGAAACCGGGGTTGGTTCTCGACGAGGGGTGTGTGCTTGCGTCGCGCGTCGTCGAGCCTAAAGAAAATGTGAGAATGTGAGAGGTGGCCAAAGGAGAGCAGACGAGGGAGAGAGATGAGGTAGGGGTGGAGGGGGAAGGGCACGGAGAGAGACAAAGAGAGAGAGAGAGAGAGAGAGAGAGAGAGAGAGATTGTGTTGGTGTATGGATCGTCCGTGAGGAGCAACACATGAGACGAGATTATGGCTGACGTCAGGGCTACGGACACAGGACGATGCGCGAGAGACAAATGTCAAGGTTTTCCAGACCTAAGTAACCGCAGACTTGTGCAATACCGCTACCGCCGGCTTCCTCCGGTCTCCCTACCCCTTACACCCCCCCCCCCCCCCCCCCC